GACTTGTTTAAGTAGTATAAAATCATTTAGTTCCACTCTAAAGATTGATCATTTCACTTTTTTGCACCTGACTGGCCACCACATTGCGGAATAACGTTGCATTTTGCAAAAAGCTGCAAAAATCAAAAAGATCATGAGAAAATGTGCCTTAAGCAGACAAATATGAAATTATGTCTTTCTTTTCGAAGCAATGGTTTCCTATCAGGATATACTTTAGTTTTGTTCGGGCAAATACAGGCAAACTATTTTTCCATCTGAGCTTCTGTTTCCACAACTGCTGACCGTCTGCCAGAAAGCTATTTGCAGCTGATCTGTGGTATTCAATATTTCCCTTGTCCTACTACCCCAAATGTTAACTAAACTGCGCCGTATAGCATTTGCCTAGTTACGGAGTGAAAAGGTCAAATAAGTGCAAGACCTAGAAGAAATGTTAAATTCACGCTGAGTTCTCATGAATAAATGAGATTCCTCGCCTAAAAAAATGCTTAAAAAGACATTGAAGGCACTTACTAAGACCAACATGTGGAGAATAAGCAATAGACGTTGCTCGGACGTACCGCAGATTGACATCACTATGAATGTTCGCTTAGCAAAGATTTTTCTTACACTAAATCTTCAATTTTACCAAGTTGCCAAACGCTTTCTGCTAGGTAACTCAGCCGCAATCTATGCTTCTATCTTAATCGTGAAACTCGTCCAATAAACTACTCCGTACTTCCCGAAAAACCAACAAAAGCAAAACAGTTTTTCACCGAACAAGAAAAGAACTAAATTAACTAAAGCTGGTGTGCACGTCACACAGTCGACCTAATTAGCTATCAGCATGATGTCACCCGCCTTGCTGGACACAGATTGGCCCTGTGAGGTGAAAAACCAGTGTCTGACCATGCATGTATCTAGCGAAACCATGCTGACTACCTCAACTACTGATACACAGGCCCGTAAAAATATGCTTACCCCATGTGTGGTTCATCCGATAAAAGTTTGGTGATGAGTCATCAGAGGCAGCGTACCAGACTTTGCATACACTCAGCATCATTGGACCGCAAATCCACTTGTGGAGTTTGCATACATGGGTTAATTATTCGGAAGATTTTACTTAGATTTAAGTTTTACAGGATATCTCAGCACCGTGTCAAAACACTATTGATAAAGAATCGACCACGGAACCACTCCGAGGAATCGCTGTTTGTAAGCCATTAGACTGAGTAATACGAAAAAAACAAATATTCCAGACTATTAGCATTTTGGATAACATCTCCAGGGATCCTTCCTACAACCCGTTGAAATAAATAAAATTGGCTCGAGGTGACCAATTTCGCGGTGTTTACTAAATGATCAAGATAAGCCCCTCTCCGTGAAGAATAAAAGGGTGTATTAGATCGGTATACAATCCAAAATAAGCATGAAAACACGGATTTGCTTAATTTATGGCCATACTTAGCGTTCATGTTTGATATAAATTACCTTGCTGTCCAGGTATTTGATATGTTTATTCCTGTGTTTAAAATATTGTGGGGGTTCACGATTTAGGAAATCTTTTGTCATGAGCCACTTGATGCGCGGCTTCTCCTCCCAAACAAGTAAGCTAGTTTTGTCCCAGTAATGCCCACGAACCCCAGCAAGTTACACTGGGTATTATCGCCGACAACTTGACTGCATATCAAACTGATCTGTACGGAAAATCAATGTCCTACCGTCCAACCATCCAGAAGTATTGTCAATACGAAAACACGGGGAATTTCGATATCGTTTTTGTAATTTAAGAATCTACTAGTCACACATTTGCGAATACAAGCCTGAACACTTATGTACAGTACAAAGTGAAATTTAGAGTATTTCAAACGTCAGCGAAACACTTTTTTAGTGTTAACTGGTACTTTTCTATGAGCAAACAGAAATTATATTCCTTTGGATGAAATAGCGGGGCACTTTATTGCATCTCAAATAACGGTTCAGTAATCTACCAAAATTTTACAACTAAACTTTACAATAAGCAAAAATATTTCTCGTCTGGTACATAATCACTTATTTTTGTCGAACGGTGCGTCCACTATGCTACAAAAGCCTAGATGCAGTTTATATTTGTCTCTCTTATTCCACCTAGTTGAGTAAAAAGACTATTCCCTTCCTGTTCCAGTGCGGAGTGCGTGTTTCATTCACAAAGCATGACCAAAACTTTCGCCGTAAACGTCAGTTTATGTATTGCGGATGTAAAAGTTGTTGTACGAGCAGATACAATGTTTTAAGTGCTAAACTAAAAAATTGTCCAATTATTTTTATGATAATAAAACGAATACTTGCAACCGATTGTCTATCATTAGCCGCACAAGGTCTGCCAGGTCGTTTATTTTATTTTTCACGAAAAAAATTACAATTTTCCTTTTTCACGAAAAAAATTTACAATTTTCTCCCTCATGGTGGCATTTTTCCGCTGTGATTTATTTGCATGCCACACCACTGTACACGTTTGAAACTGTTCGGAGATCAGTATTTCAACCCTAAAATGAACCGACACTTTGTTTTCGCTAGAAGCCGTCATAAAATGGACCATAAGAATAACACTTTTGGAATAATTTTGAAATCCCATTTGGGTGCTTTAGTTAAAACACAACGGAAGGTTATGGTTGGGTGTTTATGCTGCTAGTATAGGTCGTAAAATTATTCATTCTAAATTTGTCGACTGGGAGCTGAACGAACGTACAAAAAACATAGATCTGTGAATGTAGGATCAGTTTTTGTTCACCATCAAGTTGATATCCTCTGAAAGTAAAACTATTCGGCAGCACACCTAGTCAAACAAGCCTTAACAATTATCAACTTAGTTAATGCAGTGAAAAGACTTTCAAGACTTTGGATAGCATTGGTACCTATTTATTTATTTTGGATAGCTTTATTCTATTTTTTGGATGTAATTGACTAAGAATGGTTAGTTTTTCTAGTAAAATAGGTACTAGGTTCTGGCCTATCATTTGAAAAGGACATTTTAAAGCAGTTCTCGTGACATATAAAAAGTCCGTGTTCATGGCGTCGATTTCTCAAGTTTGCGTTGACACTTTTTTGAACACTACAGACATTGACGAGTGTCAGATCCCTGGTGTGTGCCAAAATGGTAAATGTTCGAACCACGAAGGGATGTTCACGTGAGTCTTCGCAACGGTGTTTCGTGAATTTGTTTGTACATAATAAAATGTCCTTTCTTAAAGTGCTGCACATTCTAGGTCTTGTAGTCTTGTTTTAATGGTCATACCTTGGTTGAGGTTCATAACCCCCACTTTTTAGTCGTAAGAAGGATAAAAAATCAATTTGGCCTGTGATACTGTACACAAAAAAACCCAAACAAAGGTACACTAACGTGTACTGACGGGTCTTTGAGTGACGTTTCTTGAAGGAACATTTCTTACATTCTCGAATCTCAACTAACCGTGTTTCGCTGGGTAACGTCGTTTAGGCCTTTTTCATCTCAAAAATTTCTTAATGAAACTTTCAGGCAGCAACTCACAAACCAAGACGAATAAGTCTTATGGTATCGTATCAACGTAGGCACGTCAGCAGGTTCCTTGGAAAGTACTCTTATCCCGGTACAAATCACTTGTTTCGCTCTTTTACATATATATGCAAAGTTAGAACATTGGAAACTATATAAAATCATGGAACGAAGCAATCAAATTTTGTTGAATCCCTTCGCCCGCAAACGCGGTGACATCATTTTACGAATGCATGCAATTTTGGAGGACGGCAGTTCAGTTATACATCAAACTCCGTTTGTTCTTCCTAAAGCAAAACATAGTTTTTAGAAGCAAATATACACAGCCGCGTATGAAGTTCAGAGTTTTAGAGCAAAGCTCCTGAAGATAGAATATGTTCTTTTCCATTATATGCTTCTTGATATTAGCAATCAATATAGTTAGATGTGCTATTCTAGCCCCTACTATGATACACATTTTAGAACGGGTCAGTGGATTTCTTATTAATGTTGAGCGTGCATTACCCCTTCAAATCTTCCAATTGTCTGTCTTTTGTCTGAATTACTTTCAAAGCAAATATGTCCATTTTTTCAATTCGCCGGTGTGAAATAGCAACGCTACACATGACAGAATGATCGATTCTCAAGTAAACCATTGATCAAGATGAAACACGTCTGGTGTTCAAACAATAAAGCCTGTAACTCTACCTGCTCTATGTGATTTTGTGATCTAGCGTGTGGCACCCTGCTCAACCACGGCAATACAATTTACCATAATATCTCATGCATCTCCTTTTTAGTTGCAAATGCCCAGATGGTTATACATTTAACGAGGAATCTTTGCAATGCAAGCCCACAACAGGTAAATGTGGATTGTAAACTGACGTGCCTTTACTACTTTTATATCCTCCTCCTTCTGTGGTAAGAGAATCAGTCCAACACAGAAATTTTTCGGATGATTTTAGACCTCAATGAACCAAAACAGATGAACTGCAAGCGACGTTAGTTGAAGTTGCCTTCTTTCCCCATGGCCACGACAGGTGCAGAATTCCAGACTTCGTCGAATAGCAGCTAGAATGCCCACAGTCCATTCCCCAATTTTGCTAAAGTTCTACATGAGCCTTCAATGACAAGGCAAGATTATGGAATTAATAGAGTAAACCGAAATTATTCGTGGGGCTAGTAATTCATTCACACCAAAATCATGTGAGCCGAAATGGCTAAGTGGTTAGAGTGCGAATTTACTGACTAGAATTTCTCGGTTCGAACCCGACCCTGTCTAGACTTGGGAAAGCTTGGCACTATCTCTACCCTTGTGCTTCCTTCTGATGGCATGGCAGTTAGGCACCGAAAGGATGTCTCAACTGAACGACTTTTTCACACACGGGAAGTCGTTCGGGAATGAGTCAGAACCGTCAGTGATTGGAAAAACGTTTTTGGTGGTAATAGTCTAAAATAATCACGTATTATTATACTACTCTTTGGTTTAAATTACTTGCTCAACCTCGCCTGCACGGTTTTAGTTGTTTTTCTTATGTTGCGGGTACTAGGATTGGTAGTAGCTCTACTGTAAAAACTACTTTAAAGAATTAAGTAACCCGCATGCTCCAAACCGATAATCAAGCTAGACACAATCAAGGAAAATACAGGTGATATCAGTTTGTTATTTCCGCATCTCTTTAAAGGGATATGACGGCAATGGGCACAAAACCTTCAAACAGTGCACGTATACTCAGCTGATACGTTAGGGCTATTTGCTAGAAACAAAAGTCGCGCCTAACGAGTTTAGTGACTACTGTGGTTTTTTATATCTTGATGGTTTCGCTGTAGTAAGAAATCTTCAACACCTGATGTTTCATCACTAAATCACCTATGGATATTTAACCTCTTTTTTCTCAAATTGGTCATTCCTGGAAAGGTTCTTTATTTCAAAAGTTTTGGGGAATCCCATGGCAACTCCTCACTTATTCCAATCCAAACAAGGTCAGCCTAATCAAACATTTTCGTTCATAGTCTAGAAGTAGGGTTGGAAGAATAAGTTAAAAAATTTATCAACAACGATCAGTTTTTAAAAATGTTGCATGCCATATGACCAGGGTCACTCCGAAACGATGAACAATCCAAAACCAGTATGGCCTCCGTTATCAGCGTTTTCTACAACTTGGTCATTGAAGATAATCTCTATCTCAAGTTTGCTACTAACTGCTTCCGAATGGCTGCGTTCTGAGTAATGAAATATAAGAGGGATCAGTGTTGACTAAGTGGGTTTTTAACTACCATGTCTGATCTAATCATCGCGCACTAGTCCTCTATTCCAGCCGTTTTTTTCTGACAGATATATGTTCTGCACACGGACAAAAATGTGCGCCAGGTGGAAGATGTGTCCCTCTGAAATCCGGAGACTTTAAATGTGTTTGCAAATGGAACTACAGATCTGCGAATGACCAAAAATCATGTGAGTTACATGGTGTCATATTCGCAAGGCGTATCACGTAATCGCTGTCACGCTGCTTTGGTTACGAGGTAAATCATATTCATGGAAAAACAGAATTGGGGAAGTAACAAAAGGTAAATGTTCATTAAGAGGAATGTTGGCCAAGTGTGCGCAAATCCCGGGCCATTGGATAGGTAATCGCTGTAATTCAAAAGTAATATCGAAGCAAACCATCACGGCTGGATGAGAGAACTACCTGAAACGCAGCATAGACTAATATGTTTTGTAACACTCTCATGTTTGCTCGTAATGTACTACTCACAGGGTTGCTGAAAATTCGTCGACAGACGACGACCGGTTCCACCCTTTTTTGAGGCTAATCAGCTAAGCGCATTCCCCGAGTTTCCGTCAACCTTATGGTCTACTTGAACCCAAATTGGACTGTTTTCGAGAAATACACTCATTTGCAAACTAGTTTGTTTGTGCGAGAGACTCACCTGAAAACCAGCTGAATCTCTCGTTTGTGACGTTTCTTTTGTTTAGCCCCAATTAAGCCGGGCTAAGTAACGGTGAGTTGGTCACCTCCTTGTGTTGTGGTCATTGTTCCGTTTGACCTGATTTTGTGCTTTTTATCCCAACGTCGTTCCACAGGCATCCAAAAGAACGCAATAACTTTCGATATCTGCGCGGTCTACAGCAAGTCAATATGCAAAAATGGCGCTTGTGTCTCACGAGGCAACTCATACGAATGTAATTGCAACGATGGTTTCGAACCTTCTGTTGACCGGAAAAGCTGTCGACGTAAGTAGTCTTGCCAAACGAACACACATTTTGGCAAACCTTTGAATGAAGCAATGACTGCGGAATTTTTAAACAGAGCATAACAACAGCTCTGGGGAACTGACAAAACCTAAGCCCGTTTTACGCAAGAGTTTACACACTTTCCAAGGAGGTAACCTGTTAATTGTGAGGAACACTATGCCCACCAGGCTAGTTCCCTATTTACTGGGTAGATTATGGGTTTGAACATTTCATGAGTCCCCACCCATCTAAACAGAGAATATCTCAAGCGTATAATGTCCTCATCTGCGCTTTCATCTTGGTGGAGTTGGACCGAGATCCAACAGCGTATATTCACAATATGCCATTCATCATCATCATCGACAGCATGACATCAGTGTTCAACACTGATGCTTCACTGGCGACGGCCGATGTGGCGTCGGTTTATTTGTGTATGTGCAACTCATGGTTGTACGTGGGATGGGATACTGCAAGGGCGCCCACACCTAGACAGGAGGACGATTAGGGTCCTCAACTAAAGCCTTTGGCTCAAAAGCCTAACCGCAAGGCAGCGGTGTTTGGCGGGAAATGCAAATGCATTACCATTTCTACGGAGCAAGTCGCCACATGTCCCAACCCCCAACCTGGAGGGCCAGGAGACTGTGTTCGTCAGACCTCTAACCATTGACCAACCTGGTATGAGAGACTCTGTGAGTGTCGCGCGACACTCTCCAGTATAGCTCAATGGATCGCTGAGGTGCGCAAACCGTCACAAAATGGTAAGGTCCAGTCTCTTCGTAACGGACAATATGCCATTCTGGTTTCTGAATCCCACATTCATTTTAAACCTTGACCCTAGCTGAAAAGGACATCCGACATTGGTAAGCCAACAAATATCGAATTGCTAAACTCATGTTTAACCATCACAAATGATTTTTCATCCGTAATGGTTGCTTCTGTGTGCCGACAAAAAGTGCAGACCAACCCAAACGGATCAAATGCAATCACAGTCAACATTACAAAAACATGGATTTACGAATTATGTTTCAGCTTGTCCGGGATGCAAAGAATGATTCCAAATCACAATTTGTTTTGTTATATTTAGGCTACAAAAACACAATAAAAAGCCAGTAACACTTGTAATCTGGCGCAAAGTGTACGCCAAAAAACCTACCGCAATCATGTACATCGAAGGGCATCCATTAATGCAACGTGCGGACTGTGATTTATGGTTCAAAACTATGAACATAGTGGCAAAGTTACTAAAACAGTCATGCTATATGATGATCTTATTGCCGGTCGGCACGGTATTTACTTGTCTTGCTTAGTTGCCTTAAAGAATGTTCTCAATGTGGACTGTGTACAACCAGCACTGATCCAAGTGAACAGTTTACTCCGACCCACGACCCCAGCAGATCAGCCGTATCCCACAAAGAGTTCCCGAAGCATTCTACAGACTGAGTACCCTCAAATATTAGGCAGTCAAAAGTAAATTGGAATCTTACGGCTTTGAATC